TCTGGCCTCCCTCACCAGCTCTGTGAGCCTGGGCGAGTCACTTAATCCTGTTTGTCTCAGTTTCCTCATCTGTAAAATGAGCTGGAGGAAATGGTGAACCACTTCATTATCTCTGCCAAGAGAACCCCAAATGGGGCCATGAAGAGTTGGACATGACTGAAAAACAACTGAATAACAAAAAGTGTAAATCTGACCATATATGTCACTTTCCCTGCCTCCTCATTCAGTAAACTCTAGTGGTTCCCCATCACCTCCGGGATCAAACATACAATCCTGTTTGGCTTTTCAAGCCCTTCCTAATCCAGCTCTCTCCTCCTACCTTGTCAGTTTGCTTACATTTTACTCCCCCCTCACTTGGGAGTGATCCCCTCGCTGCTCTTCCGCCAGCCGGCAAACCCAAAACTGCTGACAAGCTAATCTATATTTTCTTATATAATCTCAACTGGCCTCTCACCATAACATTCCTTTTATATCTCTCTAATTGATTCTCTATCCCACCCATTTTGTGGCTATTCCAAACCTCCCCTTACCCTCTCAGCTGAGGACTTTACTTCACAGTTACCTGAAAAATAAAACTGAGGCATACCCTGAAACCTCCCTCCTCTTACATCTTGCAGATGTCTTCCCCCACTATCTCTTCATTCACCCCTGTCTCACATGAAGAAGTGGCCCTTCTCCTTGCCAAGGCAAACCCCTTTCCATAGACCTTAGACCCCATTCCATCCCATCTTCTACAGAAGATCATCTATCAACCCTACTCTTCTCACCAATCTTAAGTCTTTCCCTGCTGCCTACAATCACCCCTATGAGACTCCCCCATCCTCACTGGATTTGACCATCGCTAGCCATTATCTTCTGCTAGCCATTATCTTCTATTTCTCGTACCCTTCCTGGCTAAACTTAAGAAAAAAAGCTATCTGCACTGGGAGGTTCCACTTCCTGTCCTCTCTCACTCTTCTAAACCCTTTGCAGTGTGGCTTCCAACTCTATGCTTCAGGTGAAACCTCCGTCTCCAAGTTTACTAAGGATGGCCAGATCCAGGAACCTTTTTACAACCCTCATCTTTCTAGACCTCTCCACTGCCTTTGACGCTGCCGTCCCCTTCTTCTGCATAGTGTCTCCTCTCTAATGTCTCCTGGTTCTTTTCCTTCTCAGTGTCCTTTGCTAGTTCTTCATCATGTCATGCCCACTAAATGTGGATAGTTCTCAGAACTCTGGCCAGGGCCCTTTTTCACTTTATTCTAGTTTCATTCTAGGCCATCTCTTCAGCTCCCATGGGTTTGATGGGGTGCTTGGACCCCAATTTCTCCCTAGTCTCAGAAACACTGTCTCTGACAAGCACTCCTCAGCCCAAGGACACTGTGTCTAGCAGTTAGTCATGCATGGGCCTCAGCACGACCCTTATCTCTCTCCCTAGTCCAGCTACACAAAGCTGGGTGAGAGAGTGCCGGGCTGCTCAGGTCCCAGCCCTCAGATCATGTCTCTGGAAGCTTCCCAATTCCTTAGTAAGTTCCTGTCTTGGGAGAAAGCTTTCCCTTGTTGCAGAGCATTCTCTCATCAAGACAGAGGGAGAGGGGTGCCTTGCCCAGCCCAAGGACTCTTCCTCCTGCCAGACTCCCAAGATCCATACTTCTGTCATCTCCCTCCCTGTCTGGTATACTCCCTGTACTTTCCCATCCATAGCTCCCAAAGACACCTGGACCTTTGGATTACCTATTCGGTACGCCTGGCATTCCTTTCTCATGCCCTTTTCCATATAAACCCTAGCTCCATCCTCAGTCTCGCAGGCTCCTTAAGAATCCCTGCCTGCTGAAAAGCGTAACAATGAATCTTTGCCACCTTGACTTAAAGAATGCTTGAATCTGTGAATTCGTTCCAGATGACCCGTCCTATACTCCGGTCTTTGAGGGGTCTCAACCTCTCAGGTCGCAACAGGTTCAGTGAACATTTCTATGCAGATAATTTCCACATCCAGCCCAAATCTCACTTCTGAACTCCAGTACTAGATAACCAGCTGCCTTTTGGACATACCTAACTGGGTATCCCTTAGGCATCTCAAACTCAGCATGTTCAAAACAGAACTCATCTCTCTCTGCAAATCATCCCTTCTTGCAAACTTTTCTATTCCTACTCAGGCTACCACCATCCTCCCACTCAACCAAACCTGCAGCCTTGTGTCATCCTCAGTGCCTTATTCTGAATCACACCACGAAGGTGTTACCAAACACTGCTGTTCCTCCCTTCACAACATCGCTCACATCTGTTCCCTTTTTCTCTACATCCCTCTTGGGCTGTCTCATCCTGAAGCGTCCCTCAGCACCTGGGGCTTCTCTGCAGAACCCGCAGCCGGCTCACCCAAGTTGTTCTCTCCTACCCCCCCCCCACCTTGTGGAGAGGGGGTCCAGTCCCACCACCTTTCTGCCCTTCCAGACTTCAGACACCAACACGCCCTTCCCTCTCTACGGCTCCCTTTTAGGTGCGGTTTCCATTATTAGAATGTAAACACCTTAAGGGCTAGGAGTTTCTTCCTCTGTACCTATGTGCCCAGGGCTTGGTACAGTTTGAGTTATTTATACAGGCTCCTCTTCTTCCTTCTCTTACAACAGAGGTCCTAGCTCAGACTCTCACCCCTCTCAAAGGAACTTCTACAAACCTTTCTAGCTGGTTTCCCTGTCTCAGGGCCCTCTGGTCCATCCGCCACTCAGTCGCCAAAGTGATCTCAAAGTCCTGCTTAGTAAACTCCAGCAGCTCCTATGAAAGCACCTGTGTACCCACGCTCCTTCCGACCTTTCCAGTCCTCTGACATGGTCCTCCACTGTGTGTACTCCACAACCCAGCTCTTGGGCTCCCTCATACAACACACAACATTTTCACTGGCTTTCCCCCATACCTAAGGCCCTCCCTCTTCACCTTTGCCTCCCAGCTTCCTTCAAGACTCAGCTCAAACCCCCCCCCCATCGGCAGGAGGCCTCCCCTGGATGCTCTCTCCCCTCCCCCCCTTCACAGTGCCCTCAGTCTGAGATCAGTGTGTGTGTGTGTGTGTGTTGTGTGTGTGTGTCCATCTACTGAATCTAGCTGTTGGCATGTTGTCTCCTTTGTTAGAATGGAAGCTTCTTGAAGCTAGGGACTGTTTTTGCCTTTCTTGGCTTCCCACCACTTAGCACAATACCTGGTACACAGCAAAGCGCTTAATAAATGTTGCTTGTTGACATGAGAGTGGGGAAGGTGAGGGGTGCTGGTGACATGATGAGACCAGCTTATTTTTGTTTTAAAAAGAAAATGAAAGAAACGAGTGTTGGCTGCAGCAGACATATTGGAAAGGGAGGGCCAGGTAGAACTAGTAACTCCGGAAGAGCAGCACTGGGGTGGCCAGGTTTGAGAGAACAAAAAATGACAGCTGGGGAAAGGGGATTTTCCCTAATGCAGTCTTTGATTGAATATCAGATGGCTTCATACCCAGAGAAAGAGGAGGGGGTTGCCAGAAAGTGCAACAGAGAAGCAGAACCATTTGGCTCCTTAAAAAGTTCCATGGTGGCAGAGGTCAGTGTTGGTTAGCTCTAGAACTCCAGGGAAGAAGGGATATTTGGTCCCATCTTGGTCTACAGCTATTTGAGTGATTGGGTTCTCAGGGTCCTGATAAGCTAGTAACAGCTGCTAACTGCATGGCCAGAAGAGTGTGACTGGTGGAGCCAACTTTGAGCATGAAGTCCTAAACGCCAAAGGTCTGGTGTCTGAGGCTACGGTCTGGGCAAGGCCCTAGACAGGAGAGGCCTGGTGGGGGGCTCTTGGGTGGGGCAGGCACCGGGAACAGGGGCCGCTGCCAGCTCCCACGGCGCAGTCCGGTGAGTTCCATGCGGGAACTACCCTTTCCTCTTCTCCCTCCCTCACCTCCGAGATCTAGTGCTGGCACACTCATTGCAGGCACCAGCCTTGTTTAGGCCCTCACCACCTTTCAATCGGTCTGCATGCATTAGGCGCTTACTCTGTGCCAGGCAGTGTGCTAAGAAAAGAGGCGAAGGGTCGTGGGCTGCAAACAAACGAGCTCTGCGCCGCGGGATAAATAGGAAATCATTAAAAGGAGGTCAGCTCTGGAGCCAAGAGCCGTTAGGGAAGGTGGGATTTTAGGTGGGGCTCAGGGGAAGTCGGGGAGGTCAGTGGTCAGAGCAGACAAGGGCGAGTGTCCGAGGCCTGGGGCGGCCAGAGACTGTAGAAGGGTGATGGGAAGCCGGGAGGCCAGGGTGCCGGGGGGGGGGGAAGGGAGGGGGCTCGCTATGAAGGGCCACACAGCGGGTCACAGGGAGCCTCTGCAGGAAAATGGATGAGCCTTGGCTTTAGGAAGATCGAGGTAGGGGCGGAGGGAGAGACGAGGCAGGCAGACCCCTCCCCCATCCCCCAGCAGCTATGGCCTTAGTCCGGGTGCAGGGTGACGAGGGTCTGCACTGGGACGGAGGGCAGAGCAGGGCACGTGGTCCAGCCCTTCTGGTTTGTGGATGACTGAGGTCCGGGACCTAACCACTCCAGTGAGCAGGGGCTGCACACAGAAGGTGATTAATAAATGCTCCCTGGCTCGGCCTCCCCTAAAAAAGGATGACCTTTTCAAAAGTGGCCTCCTCGGTCAGGGTGCTTTGCTCCGGGGGCGGGACCAGGGAGGTGGGAGAAGAATAACCAAGGAAAGGAGTTTTCCGAAGTGTGAGCACGTTGCGGGGCCGGCTGGGGGGTAGGCCAAAAGGCTTCTCTCCTTTGGCCCTCAGTTTCCCCCTCGTGCCACAATACCAGTCACAGAGACGTCGTCCGCGGCCCCCCGCCCCCTTCCGGGCCCCCCTCAGTCCTTCCTAGCTGTGCGGCCTGCCTGGTGGGAGAGGGGAGGAGGCCAGCGGCGCAGCGCGCCCCGCCCCCCCTCCGTCCTTCCCAGCAGCTCGGCCTGCCTGGTGGGGGAGGGGAGGAGGCCAGCAGCGCGCGCCGCGCCGCGCCCCGCCCCCCCCGGGCGGCCCGTAACTCACAAGGACTCTAGGTGCTGCAGCTGCTGCCGCTGCTGAGCGTCCCGCCGGCGCCGCTTCTGCTCCTGGCGCCGCTGCTGCTCCAGCTCGGCCGGCTCCCGGGCCCGCTTGGGGGGCGGAGGCATGGCCGGGCCGGGCCGGGCCGGGCTGGGCCGGAGCTCCCCGCTGCGGCCGGGGGGAGGGGAGGAGGAAGAGGAGGGAGGAGGAGGAAGAAGGCGCCCTCACTTCCTCCGGCCGCCCAGCCCGGGCCCCGCCCCGTCGGGCTCCCGGCCCCGCCCTGCTCCCCGCCCCTCCGCGGGTCTTCGGGCTCGGGGCCTTTCGTGGCTGGCACGTGGCGCTCGAGGCCAGTGAAGACCCGTGTTCTGGGAGCCAGAGTAATGCCCCGGGGTAAAGTGCCCCCTCCCGACCCTTTGCTCTGGGGGACCCGGGGGCTTCCCTTCCTTAGGGTCGGGGGCATTCCAATGCAGAGGGAGGGCTGCTGTCAAAACAGTGAAGAGGGATGAGGACCCGGGCCGGGGGTGAGGGGCGGGCCACCGGTGCAGGGTCAGCTCTCGGGGAGGAAGGGGAGCATGGCACTGACCGGGCGGGCAGTGGTGTGGGAGGGGGCTGGAAGTTGGCCTGAGGGCGCTGAAAGCGCAGAACGACACCGCCTCCCTCCCCGTGAGGAGGGGAGCATAAGTGGGGGGCATCTGCAAGACTTCGCAACTGACTGGATGTGGGGGACACACAAGTAATGATCTGTGAGGGAAAATGAGGCAAGGCTTCACAGATGAACTAGCGAGTCTGAAGATCAGTCAGTTGACCAAGAGGCATTTAGTAAGTCCCTATTATGACTTGTGGCATTGTGCCAAGTCATTGGGGGGCAAATAAAAGAAATGAACAGCTCCCTTTCACAAAGAGCTTACTTCTAATGTGGAAGACATCAAGGACACATAATTATATACAGAATTAAAATAAAGCTAATAAATACCAAGTACCTAACTTCAAGGTGGTTTGGGGGATCAGAAAAGCCTTCACTAAGGTGATGCTGAAGCTGTACCTTGAAGAGAGGGAATCTGTAAGGCAGAGGCTGGAGGGTGTGCCTTCCTGGGATGGGGGACAGCCGATGAAAAAGCACACCCCTGCCTTACGTGAAGAGGCAGCCCTGCTCTTTGCCACAAGCATCCCATCCCATCCACTTTCCCCCAGCTGATTGCTCCTTCTATCATCCCCACTTTCTCACTAATCTACAGTCTCTCAGTCTACCCACTACTTCTCTACTGCCTATAAACATACTTCATCCTCAAAAAACCCTCCCTTGATCCTTTTATCCCTGCCATGGTCCCATATCTCTTCTGCCCTTTGTAGCTGAACTCTTTGAGAAGGCCATTTGCTTCCTTCTCACTCTCTATAATCTGACATCTGTCCTCTTCGTTTAACTGCTCTCCCCGAAGTTACTAATGACCTCAATTGCCACTTCCAATAGCCTTTTCTCAGTTTCATCCTCCTGGACCTCTCTGAAGTCTCTGACACTGTAGAACACCATATCTTCTCTGATAGTCTCTTTTCTCTAGGTTTTCAGGGCATCTTTCTCTCCTAGGTTTCCTCATACCTACCTGACTCCTCCTTTTCAGACTCCTTTGCTGGATTTCCATCCAGATCACACTAGGATAACCCAGGGCCACAGGACTCTATCCTAAGGCCTCTTCCTTTCTCCTTCTATTGTTAAGTTGTTCAGTTGTGTCCCACTCTTCAAGACCCCATGGATGCCAGGCCCTTCTGTCCTCCACTATCTTCCAAAGTCTGTCCAAGTTCATGTTCACCATGATGCTATCTGTCCATCTCATCCTCTCCAATCCCCTTCTTTTGCCTTCAATCATTCCCAATGTCAGGGTCTTTTTTTTTTTTTTTGGCTAGGCAATGGGGTTAAGGGACTTGCCCAAGGTCACACAGCTAGTAAGTGTTATGTATCTGAGGCCAGATTTGGGCTCAGGTCCTCCTGAATCCAGAGTCGGTGCCCTATCCACTGCGCCACCTGGCTGCCCCAGGTCTTTCCCAGGGAGTCCCATCTTCTCATTATGTGGCCAAAGTATTTAAGCTTCAGCTTCCAGTAATAGTGTGAATTAAGTTCTTTAAGCATTGACTGATTTGAACTCTATGTCCAAGGGGCTCTCAGAAGTCTTCTCCAGCTTCATAATTCAAAAGTATTGATTCTTCGGTGCTCAGCTTTCCTTATAGTCCAACTCTTACAGCCATATATTGCTAATGTAAAAGCCATAGCTTTGACTATCTGGACCTTTGTTAGCAAGGTGACATCTCTGCTTTTTAGTATGATATCCAGATTTGCCATAGCTTCCTTTCCAAGGAATGAGCATCTTTTAATTTCGTGGCTACAGTCATCATCTACAGTGATCTTTGAGCCCAAGAAAATAAAGTCTGACACTGCTTCCATTTCTTCTCCTGCTGTTTGCCAGGAAGTGATAGGAGTAGTTGCCAAGATGTTAGGGGTTTTTTGTGTGTTAAGCTTCAAGCCAGCTTTTACACTCTCCTGTTTTACCCTCCTCTAGAGGTTTCTCAATTCTTCTTTACTTTCTAAAGTCAGAGTGGCATCATCAGCGTATCTGAGATTGTTGATATTTCTCCTGACAACCTTAATTCCAGCTTTTGATTCCTCCAGCCTGGCATTTCACACGAGGTACCCTGCACACAAGTTAAATAAATAAGGTGACAACATACAGTCTTATCATACTCTGCTTCCAATCTTAAACCATTCAGTTACTCCATGTTCAGTTCTAACGGTTGCTTCTTGACCTGCATACAGGTTCCTCAGGAGACAAGTAAGATGGTCTGCTACTCCCATCTCTTTTGAGGACATGCCGCATTTTGTTGTGATCCACACAGTCAAAGGCTTTAGTGTAGTCAATGAAGCAGAAGTAGATGTTTTTCTGGAACTCCTTTACTTTCTCCATTATCCATCGAATGTTGGCAATTTGGGTCTCTAGTTGCTCTGCCTCTGAAAACCAGCCTGCTCTCTGGTAATTCTCGGTTCACATAGTGCTGAAGCCTAGCTTGTATAATCTTAAGCATAACTTTTCTGGTGTGTGAAATGAGTGCAATTGTTTGGTAATTTGAACATTCCTTGGCATTGCCCTTCTTTAGGATTGAAATATAAACTGATATTTTCTGATCTAGTGGTCACTGTTGAGTTTTCCAAATTTCATAGTGTACTGACTGCAGCACTGTAATAGCATCTTTTTTTTAGGATTTTAAATAGCTCAGCTGGCATTTTATCACCTCCACTAGTCTTATCGTTAGCAATGCTTGCTAAGGCCCACCTGACTTCATTCTCCAGGATGTCTAGCTCTAGATCAGTAATGGTTATTGGTGATGTTAAGATCTTTCTTGTGTATTTCTTCTGTATATTCTTGCTGCCTCTTCTTAATCTCTCCTACTTCTGTTAAGTCCCTATCATTTTTGTTTATCATGCCCATTTTTGCATGAAACCCCTCCTTGGTATCTCTAATTCTCTTAAAGAGATCTTTTGTTTTCCCCATTCTCTTGTTTTCATCTGTTTTTTTTATATTGTTCATTAATCTCTCCTTGCTATTCTCTGGAATTCTGCATTCATTTGAGCACATCTTTCTCTTTCTCTTTTCTGTTTTCCTCTTTCCTTAGCTATTCATAAAGCCTCATCAGACAGCCATATTGCTTTCTTGCTCTTCTTTTTCTTTGAGATGTTTTTTGTTGCTGCCTCAGGTACAATATTGTGAACCTCTGTCTGTAGCTCTTCAGACACTCTACCTACCAGATCTAATCTCTCAAATCTATTCATCACTTCTACTTCCTATGCATAAGGCATGTTATTTAGGTCACTTCTATATAATCTGGTGGTTTTCCCTACTTGCCTACTGAGCCACAGTCAGCTCCAGCCTAGTTTTAATTGACTGTATGGAGCTTCTTCACTTTTGGTTGCAAAATATATAATCAGTCTGATTTTGATGTTGACCATCTGATGATTTCCATGTCTAGAGTTGCCTTTTAGGCTGTTGAAAAAGAGTGTTTGCTATGATCTGTGAGTTATCTTGACAAAACTGCATCATTTTGTACTCCAAGGACAACCTTGTCCATTTTTCCAATTATCTTTTAATTTCCTGCATTAGCTTTCCAGTCCCCTGTGATGGATGTGACATCTTTTTTTGGTGTTATTTCTGGAAGGTGTAAGTCTTTATAGACTTACTTTGGCCTCTTCAGCATCAGTAGTTGAAGCCTAGCCTTGTATGTTACTGTGATGATGGATGGTTAGCTTTGGACTTGAACAGATATTCTGGACTAAATAGCCTGCTGAGGGGTCTGCCTGCCTCAAGTCTCTCCCCACTCCAGTCCATTCTCCATTCAGCAGCCGAAGGATTTTCCTAAAGTTCAGGTCTAACTATGTCAATCCCTGACTCGATAAACTCCAGTGACTCCTTATCATGTCCAGGGTCAAATATAAAATGCTTTGTCTGGCATTTGAAACCCTTTATAGCCTAGCCCGCTCCCCTTTTCCAATCTTCTTACACCTAAAACCTTCCTGCCCCCACCCCCTGCTTCAATCCAGTGATGCTGAATTCCTAGATGTTTCTTGTACAAGATGCTTCTCCATCTTCTGATTCAGAGCCTTTTCTCTGACTGCCCCTCATGCTTAGAATGCTCTTTCTTCCTCATCTCCACCTCCTGGCTTCCTTCAAGCTTCAGCAAAAACCCCACCTGCTACAGGAAGCCTTTCCCAAGCCCTCTTAATTCTAGCGCCTTCTCTGGATTGTGTCTCCAAGCTGTATACAGCTTGTGGGTACAGAGTTGTTGGCATGCTGTCTCCCCCTTAGCTCTTTGAGGGCTGGGACTGCCTTTTACCTTTCTTTGTATCATCAGTATGTAGTAGCACAATGCCTGGCACATAGTAGGTGCTTAATAAATGCTCGCTGACTGATCGGATAGAGACAAGTCAGGAGATGGAGTGCTATGTATGTGTCATAGAGAGAAATCTTGTTTGGCTGCATCACAGAGCTCAGGAGGGTGGGTAATTTATTATGAGGCCTGAAAGCTACCCAGGTTATGTGAAGGGTTTTTAAACCATCACAGAGTCTAGCTTTTATCCTAGAGGCAACAGGAGACATTGAAGTTTGTTGAGTAGAAGAGGGAAATGGTCAGAACTGCACTTTGAGGAAAGTCACT